GGCGTGTTTGCCGCGTGGGGCAGGTCACGAACTCACTTACGATGACGTCATGCGAGCAGGCCTTGTCGCATAGGTGGTATTGCATCGGCTTTCACGGAAGGACATGCTGCCGAGATGATGCCGTGGCAAAAAACAAACTTTCAACCGTCCCACTCTGCTGAGGAAGGAAGACCAGCGAAGCTGTACTATGATGGTACGACCTCAAGCACGACTTTTGGACGACCTCAAGGACAACGCCTAGAAGGCGGCGTCTAGGACGACGTCTAGGACGACCTCAAGGACGACCGCTAGGACGATTTCAAAGACGACCACAGGGTCGACGTCTGGGACGCCCTCAAGGACGACGCCTAGGGCAACCTCAGGGATGAAGTCTAGGACGACATCAAGGACAACCTCAAGGACGACCTCAAGGACGACTTCTAGGATGACCTATAGGACGACTTGAAGGATGACTTCTAGGACGACCTCAAAGAAAGCTTCTCTGACAACCTCAGGGACGACCTCAAAGGCAATGTCTAGGACGACTTCAAGAACGACTCTAGGGCGACCTTGAGGACGACATCTGGGACGACGCCTAGAGACATTCAGCCTTTCCATTCTGGTGAAAACCAGAGTGGAAAGGCTGAAATCGGTGCTGTTGTCTATGAGCAAGGGAACATGGTTAAAATCGCGCAAAAGAGACAAGGACAAGCGAGGAAGGAACACAGAACACAGACAGGCGCGTGATTCTGTGTTCCTTCCTCGTTTGTCCTTGTCTCTTTGTGCGGGCTTTTAACCATGTTCAACGTTTACCAACTCCTCCAACTTACTACTCGTCTATGAGCGAGGCCGTCAAACTGGTTGTCTGGTTGCCGCCGTCGCTCATAGATGGCGGTAGCTGTCCAGAGTTTTTTCGGCATTTCTTTGCGAGGGACACAATCCTCGGAAAACTAGCCCTCAACAGCTCCGCTGTAAAAATGACAAGGTCAGCCTTCGCGGCCGGAGGTTCTGGAGCTGATTGAGAACAGGAGGGCACCTCTTTCTCACGCGCCCGTAGCCTCTGCCGTGCACGCGCTGCGCGTGCATGTTTGAAGCAGACGATACTCCTAAGTATTGTCTGATAGAGGAAGCTCGCGCCGTTGATGATACAAATGAAACTCCTCCAGGGTCGCTAAACTCGTCAAACACAGAGAGAGAGAGGGAGAGACATGTTTTTATTTGATGAGGGTTCACCTGCTATGGAGTTGTGCTCCTGAGACGGGAGGGGAAGGGTTGTGAAGGGAGTGAGGGGTTGAGGGACATTTCATGACGATGGTAGTGACGTCTTAGATGAGGCTATGTACACCCGACTCCCTGATATACTGTATCAAGGAGTCGAGGATGGCTTTCCTGTGCTGAGGAGTGCCCGTTGGATTGGTCCACTCCTCGAGCGTCGTAGGCTTGTCTACGCCCTGGATCTTGTCCAGAGCATCATTTCTACGATGCTCGAGGCCTTTACAGGCCCAGAGCAGATGCTGCAATGTTGCCTCGGCTCCTTCCGAGCAGCTCGTGCAGGTTGGGTCCATATCTTCTTTCAGGCCAAAAAATACTAGTTTGGATGGTGTTAGTGCAGTATTCGTTCTTATTCTTCGAATCCTGACGGTTTCCCACCGACTGTATCCTACCAGTATGTTGCTGTCTGTCGGTGGAAGCTGGCTGCGGAGGTAGGCCTTTCTCTCCAGTTTGGCGAGTTCGGCCCGTTCCTCCGGGTCCATTGCTCCCGCCTTCATCTTCTCCCGAGAGGTTGAGCCTTGTGCGGAGTGAGTGCTACAGGCTGTCTCAGCTGCGGCTCGACGTGCCCTCTCGTTCCCGGGTATGCCACTGTGTCCGGGTAGCCACTCGATTGTAAATATGGTGCCCCTTGTACGGAGCTCCACTGCCACTTTCTTTATTTGCTTTACCGTACGACTCTTTGGTCTGCTGCATCGGCACGCACGTATTTATTCTTGCGAGTCCGTAAAAATTCGTGCCTTGCCTGGCTGGGTCTGTTTCTTGAGCACGTCTTTCACCGCCGCCAAGATAGCCCTCAGTTCCGCCTCTTTGATAGAAGTCCCTTCGGAAAGTATTTCGCTGCTCTCTTCATTTCTTCGTGGATCGTACCACGACGTAGTCGTGGCGTCTTCTGTCTTGCCGGCGTCCGTGTACCGCAACTCATCTTCTGTCGCGTGCGTTTCGCACCAGCTTGCGTGTAGTCTGGCCGCTCGAGCCCGCTTCCCTTGGTTGAGAGTCTTCGGCATGGGTTTGTGGTCGGTGATGGTGTTATCTTGCCACGGAGGCTGCGGTTCCTCTAGCGGGGGCCTTTCTCGCATGTCGTATCCTAGAATTGCTAGGAGCTTGCGTCCGTGCTCTGTTCTCTCGAGCCGTTGAAATTGGGCAATGTTCTGAACCTCGCACGCTCTTCGATAGTGTTCATCTGTGCTTCTTTCCTCAGGTCTTCTATAGCTGTGTATTGTGGAAGGCCTGTGACTGCCCTCATCAATTGGTAGTTCAACCTTTCAAGTTTCAGCCAGTGTTGTCTGGTCAGATTGAGCCAGTTGCAGTTGTACAATGCTTTGGGTGTGAGTACTGCCTCCGTTAAGATCCTGAGGGTTTTCTCGTCAGCGCCCCAGAACTTACTCGTGATCTTTCGGATGAGCTTGAGACCTTGAGCCCACCACTTCTGTAGCTCGGGTATCCACCTCGTGGTGCGGGCCGTCTCCTCGAAGGTGACTCCCAGTATCTTGATGTGTGGGCGTCTACTTATTTCCTGTCCATTGATCTCTAGTCGTACCATGTCGGCTATTCCTTTCCTATGGTCCCTTGGTCTGGCCACAACCATGTACTGTGTTTTATCCGGTGATGGCTCCATCCCAACTTGAGAGAGATATCGAGTGACCTCATCTATACCTTCTTGCATCGTCTGTTCTTGGTCTCCCAAGGAGCCTCCGCGTGTCCAGAGCGTGACATCGTCTGCATATATGGTGAAGCCCAGACCATCGATATTCCGAAGCCTGGTAGGCAACTCTGCCATCACCATATTGAAGAGTGTCGGTGAGATCACTGCTCCTTGTGGAACACCCCTGCAGTTCGGGGTGTCGGGTCCTTTAGTGTCACCAAACTTCCCTTGGAACCTTCTGCCCCGCAGAAAGTCTTGTATGAAGGCCAGGGATTTTCCTTGGATTCCGCACCTCCTAGCTCCTTTTATGGCTGCCAAGTGTGGGACGGCATCGAAGGCATTCTTAATGTCGAGCGCGACGACGAGGCGTGGGTCTTGCTGATTCTTGTTGGCCATGACGTCCTCGTAGAGGAGCTTGAGGCTCTCCTGGGTTCCCATCGCCTCCCTGAAACCCGTTTGTCTGGTATCGAGCCTGTTGTGAGTTTCCAAGTACCACTGTAGTCTTCGGAGAACAATTTTTTTCATTGTTTTGCAAATGTTCGATGTAAGTGAGACCGGTCTTAGATTCTCTATCTTGTCTTGGAGCTTGCCTGGTTTGGGGATGGGCGTTACCCACGAGAGTTATCATTGTCTCGGTAGCACTCCGGAGTTCCAAACTTCGTTATACCTGTTCAGAAGTTTTTCTTTGGCTTCTTCGGGGACATTCCTTAGGGCTTGGTACGTAATGCCGTCGGGACCCGGTGCGCTGCCGGTGTTGGCCGTGTATAAGGCTTCCAACAGTTCTCCCATGTTAAGCTGGTCCTCCATTCCAGGTTCTTCTGGTGCCTCAAGGGTGTGGGTACTTTCGGATGTTTTGCTAGTCCTCGGCGGTGCTGCGCTAACTTGTGGAAAGAAAAGTTCGCCTGCCCTGACTGCCATTTCTTCTTCGGTAATGTTTAGTCGGAGGGCTAAGTTTTGTGCCGCATTCCTTGCCTTCCGCCTTTTACCGCCCATGCCTCTGTAGGTCCTCCAAGCTTTCCCTAGGCCGATCTTCTCATTAAAGGATCCGCAGTGCGCCCTCCATCTCGTCCTGCCGAGCTCCTTGGAATACGTGGTGGCTTTGGCTGTGGCTATATTGAGCTTAATTTTTTGCGGTGTTGTTCTAACTTTTTTGTATTTCTGTAGGGCTTGGAGCCGGCTAGCCCAAAGATTTAACAGATGTGTGTCTGGCGTGGGGCTCCCACGTTTCACCGAGATTTGCGTCTTCGACCCCGTGAGCGCCTCTTGTATGCAGACCTCGATGTCCCTGTCGTTCCCAATATTTTGGGTCACAATCTCTCTGAAGCGATCCCACTTGATGATAGGTCTCATCTCTCGGCCTTTCCTCCCTGCGCAGTGTGCTACCTTCAACTCGATGGGGTAGTGGTCGCTACCCAACGTGTCCCTCCATGGCTTCCACTCAAGGGTCAGGTCCCCCATGGTCCACGTGAGATCCGGTGTGGTATGCTTCTGTCTCTGCTGCTTTGCAAGCCTCGTCTTCACTCCAGTTTCATTTTGAAGCTCCAGGCCTCCCCTTTTCATGGCTTCCAGCAGTTCCCTGCCCTTTTTCGTATTTGTTGCGTACCCTCATTTTTTGTGTGGGGCATTGAAGTTCCCGGCCACAATCAGTGGGTCTCCGCCGGCTAATTCAACTAGGCCGCGGATCCAGCTTGCCGTCTCTCCGTCCTTTGGTTTGGCTCTGGGTCTGATGTATATAGAAGCGAGTACCATCTTGAGCCCGCCATGTCTGACTCTCGCTGCGACGACCTCCCTGTCGCTAGAACATAGCACGGAAGTGTCAAGTTGCGCCTGTGGTAGATGCCGAAGAACTCCGATAGCCGCCCATCCCTTCCGAGTCACCGGGTTCCTCTCCCAGGGGCTTGGGACGGTCTCGATGATAGGCGTTAAGTAAAAGTTATAGCAGGGTAGGGTCATGTTCGGGCTTCTCGTTTCTTGAAGTAATAGAAACTCTGGTGGTGCTTGTCGTTCGAAGCGCAGTTTAAGTTCCGCACTTCTTGCCGTAAACGTGCTGCAGTTCCATTGTACGATGCGGGTCCCATCCGTCTTTGTTCGTCCGGTCGTCATTCTTCTAACGTCGTGCATGTCTCAGTTCTGCTATCTCTTTCTTGATTTCGCCTAGTGTCTGGAAGATCATCTTGAAGCCAAGTGACATCTCCTTTCGAAGTTTGTTGTGCTCAGTTTCTGCGTCGAAAGGAGATTTGAGCGGTCGCATTGCCGGCACCAGAGTTGCCCTCGGTTGGGCCCATTCGGGCATCCAGGCCAGACACTTGCCCTGCTCTTCCTGAATCATTCCTTGCGTTGATCCTTGCTTGGCTTCGACCCTGGGCTGTTCTGCAGGTGACCTTCGATTGTCCTTGGCTGCCGCGGCATAGCTTTCTCTTGGTTGGTGTTTTGGTGGCTGCTTTCGGAGTTTCGTTTTCTCGGGTATCTTCCTTTTCGGGCACGCATTACTAGTGGCGACATGATGCCCCTCGCAGTTTCGGCACTTGGGTTCCCTGTTGCATTGTTCCATATCTTCCTCGTGTGTGTACCCGCAATGGCCGCATCTGCTTTCTTTGATGGGGCATACATCGCTCTTGTGACCGATTCTATGGCAATTGTAACATACGACGGGCCGGGGACGGTACGGCCTCACAGTGAAGATCTCTCTGCTGAACATTACGTTCTTTGGTAGCCTAGTGCCCTCGAACGTGATGACGACCGCGTTGCTAGTTTTGCCCATAAGTCATGCGAAGACGATCTTCGCGGTTCGACATACCAGGTCTGGGATGAGTGTTTCTGGGGTTTCAGCGCTGTTGTCTCCATGCAGGTAGATAACCCCGCGCACTTGATTGCGACCCATTGCCTTGTAGGGTTTCAGGGCGTATGAATATTTGTCTTTCTTAACTTCCGTCACCTGGAGTAGTTTTTCTGTTATCTTTTCGTCCCTGGTGGTGAGCGCGATAGTATTAGCTCTGGGCTGAATTTGAATCTTGTAGTCTTCGGATTCTGCGATTCCCGCCTCTGCTACGGCTCGCCTAATTTCCCTCGCTGTAAAGTTCTTAACGTTCTCTTTGCAGATGGGCTTGAGAATGATGGTTTGCACAGACGCCTGAGTTTCCTGCGTGTTTTCCGCAGCTGTTATGTCGTCCGATTCTACATTTGTCCACTTCGGGCGTTTCCTCCTGCGCTTATTCGCGACTAGGTACTCGATGTCGTCTCCGGCATTTTCTTCCATCATGACAGTTCCAGTGCCGCCAGGCTGAGCTTTGCTGTCCTTAGCAAACGGCTTCTCCAAATTTTGAGATTCTTCCCGCATCGGAAACTCGTGCAAAAAACAAGAGCTCACCTCCTCATTCGCGGCGCCCTGCGGACTTGAGCTTCTGGTTAGGTTCATTGTCCCTTGAGCGTAATTGACTAGAAGTCCAGTTAGCTTTCCGATGTCTTCCTTGGAAATTCCCAAATGCATGAGAAGTCCGGGGTCAAGTTGGATATCGATGGTCCTGACGTTGGGCGTGGGCAGCTGCGTCACATCTGTTGAGGTCTGAGGACCGCCGGTGCCAGAGGTTAGGCTTACCACGGTATCCATGTTCTCAATTTCCAAATTCGCCGAAATTGACCCCGTGGGGTTCAAAATCGCTGGACGGGGAGTCCCTTGGTGTGGGACGCTGGACGAGAGGTCCCTTGGCGAGGGCAGCTGCGTCACATCTGTTGAGGTCTGAGGACCGCCGGTGCCAGAGGTTAGGCTTACCATGGTATCCATGTTCTTAATTTCCAAATCCGCTGAAATTGACTCCGTGGGGTTCAAAATCGCTGGACGGGGGGTCCCTTGGTGGTCCATGGCATTGTCCTCGTTAATTGGAGTTGTGTCCGGGCGGCTAGCAGACCCCAAACAGGATACAGAAATCGCTTTCGGCGGAGCGCTAAGAAAACACGTCTGCCCTCAGCAATTAGAAGAAGACGAATCTCGTCAAACACAAACTTGGGGCCGAAGTTCGCGAAGCGCGCTGATCGGACTCTCGCGACGATGGCGTCACGCGGGACGAGATGTCAATCATCCAAACTCTCTCGGTGCTCAAATTCCACCGAGAATGCAAAGCACAAAATCGTAGTGAGCTTCGTCGGAGCGTGTGAGAGCAACACCATGGGGCCAGCCGATTGAACAGCTGCACTGACGACGTCGCGCCCGAGTGTTTCCACATCCCTACGCTGCGATAGAGGCAATGAAACGTAGATTGTACCTAGGCGGGGGGTAAATACTCTGAACTTTCTCGTCGCAAGATCGCCGTTTGTGGAAGTTATTGGTGACGACAAAATGACGTTTTACATCTTTCGGAGGGAGTTATTTGAGGCAAAAATCTTCGCTTCGGAATCGAGGTGAAGATTGAACTTTGTGATGTTGTGGAGCCGGTGCCCGGTGTACGCGGCTTTTGAGCTCATCCTCCGCCACTGTCAACAACGCCACCGAGGTCACCCCCAGGCGGTTTGTGTAGAGACGTCGGTAATGTCTGAGAGATAAGGGGAAACGGGATTAGCATAAAAAAAGGCCGGAGAAAGAGAAATAAAAAGATTTAAAGACTTTTACAAATCTTTGTAATGCGAAGTTAGAGCTGAACTCTCAAGGAGGAATAGGGGAGGGTATGGAGAGGAGGGTATGCCCCTCCTCCTTCCCTCTTCCTCTCCTCCCCTCCTCCTCCCATTCAGTTTGTCCGTTAAATTTAGCGGGGAAAAGGACATCACATGACAACCTAGCGGAGAAGTGAATTGGTGTTGCAGTCCCGTAGCGGGGAATTGAATTGGTGTTGAGGTCATGTGACGTCAATTTTCGCGCTAAATTTAGCGGGCCGGTTACGCCGACGCCGAGAAACCCGGAAACAAGCACCGAAAAGCTGCGCTCTAAAAAAAAAAATTAAGGTACGACGACCAACACACACAAACGAACACAAACGAACACACACACACGCACGCACGCACGCACACGCGCACACACGCACGCACACACGCACGCAAACAGGCACGCACACACGCACGCACACAAATAGGAGTCTCAAGCAGGGTCGTAGAAATCGTTCGGGAGAGAGAGACAGAGAGGACGTGATGGTGGCGAAGAAGGGGGATATCCCTTTCCCCGAATATTATAACTCTCTGAAATGCTATGGTGGTTCGGGGCCGGGGCGATACCCCCCCCCCCCCCACACACACACCCTTATGCCCCTTGCCCCCTTTTTCGACGCCGCTGGGGGGCGGGGGTAAATGGTCCCCCTCCCCACCCTCCTGTTCTGACGACCCTGCTTAGGGGTGTTCCAATGAACAATGACGAGGAACTGCGCGGCCTGCAATTTTCAAAGTAACGGTTCAAGAGATTCCGAAATCAAACCGGTTCACGTTCCATAAACTCAAGAGTGGCCATGACAGACTTTCAAGAAAAAGACTCGTGCCACGTCAGGATTATCAGTAGTGGACGACAAGTTTGATGGTGGATGTTCAAATCGACGATGACAAGTTTAGTGTCCTCGCGTTCTTGAAGCATCACTGCCAATATTGAGAACCAGACATTACTTTTATTTCCTTATTTCTGTTCATGAACACATACTTTATCCCAAACTGACTGATCTTCGAGTGTCTACCATAAAATGATTTTATCCCGCCGATGAAGGGACAACTGCCCGTAGGCGAAATTCATTCGAAAGTGGACAGCGTTAGTCGGCTGGTTGTGACCTAGCCATGTCGGGCTACACTTTGGCCAGATTCGAAAGGCCGAGATAAATAAAAAAAACGGCAGGGACGCTTTTTTAGTAAATTCCGCTTTATCGGCGGAAATAAGAACGACACCAGACTATCAACTTCGATGGTGTTGATTTTAAAACGCAATTCCCAAGCATCCATCGTGCTTTTTAGAGACCATCAAACACGTCGGTCGCAACTGATAATCTTTCTCGCGACGTCACACGTATGAACCACGGTCGCCTCCGCGCTCTTTCGTGCTGCTCTTGGTCGGCGCCTGGGGAGGAGTCGGGATTTTTTTTCCCTTCAACGAAAAACATCACGAAGACAAACGGATCTGCGGGTTTGCTAGAAAAGAAAACTTCACAGAAATCTTTCGACTCCTCCCCCTATTATGTCATAACACAAATAATATTTTTATTGACGAGTTTAGCGACCCAGGGTCACTAAACTCGTCGAGCACAACTTTGTGCCCGAACTTTGCGGAACGCGCTAATTGGACCCTCGCGACGCTGACGTCGCGCAGAGCGAGGTGTCAATCATTAGAACGCTCATTTCTTTGAGAGTGGCAGCATGTAGCAAAGTTCATCGAGCTGCGCATGCAGAGCGTGAGGGGCGCGAGGAGCCCGCTGATTGAACGGCTTCGCCGATGACGTAGCGCCCATTTGCCCCTACATACCTACGCCAAGCTAAAATTAATGTACTGCAGATTGTCCCTAGCCGACCTGTTGACGCTCCAAATCCCTCTAAGGTTTGTGTAAAAAAAAAAAGTGATTAGAAACCTCGTTTGTCGAAGTTGAGGCTGGCGTCAAAGTGACGTTTTCGAACCTTGCGAGAGCCGTGGTTTGAGCTCGAAATCTTCCCTTCGGATCGAGGCGAAGTTAAACTTTGTCAACATGGTGGTGCCGTACGCTGCAGCCGAGGTTATTTTCCGCCACCGTCGGCATCGCTACCAAGACTACCGGGACGCCTTTCAACTCCCCGACGACGACTTTCGGCGACAGTACCGGCTATCAAAAGCCGTTGTGCGTTGACTCTGCGACGAGCTTCGTTCGGGGCCGGGACTTTGAGGCGGCGGACAATCGCGTCTACCATGAACGTGGAACAAAAAGTTCTCTACGCGCTTCGGTTCTTCGGAACCGGTAGCTTTCAAGGCATGGTAACGACTGACGAGAACCTGTAAGTCTCCCACATGACTGTGAGCAGGGCTGTCAGAGTTTTTGCAGCTGCTATCATTTTTATTTAAATAATATCCGAAGAGGTACTACTAAGCTGGTCTATAATTCAGAATGTAAGAAAACAAACAAGAAGCGGGGTAATTCTTTGGTAGGGTCGAGTCTCCCGGCAGCCGGCAGAATTATTTCCCCGAAATTCCACTGGCAGTCGTCACTCATTGGCGGTCAAATCGATTCATCGAACGACGTGTCATCGACAAATCGTTTCATTGACACGCAATGTAATCATATGAAGAAGATTTCCTTCAGTTAGAGGTATATACACATTGAACAGTTTCACACCCTTATACATGTAAGTGAAGTGTCCAATAACTAGGGTGTTTACTTTCCGGTGTTTATTTATGACAAAAATCGGCGGATGTTTATCTGTGTTTCTTTGTTGCACCTATCGCGGTGCGTTTCGGTGAATTTTCTCGTGCAGACGCTTACAGCGGTGATTATCGGGGGGGGGGGGGGGGGGGGGGGGGTAAATTGCGAATGTATACTGCCACTGAAGGCGAATAGCAGTCCAAATTTTATTTACATCTTTTACTCAATCTCCCACTTCATTATTGTAGTATATCCATCCATATACTACAATTCCTAGGCACACATTCCTAGGCTCTTCTCTGTAACTGACGGCCGCTCCTTCTTGTTGACGACGCGCAATTTCGAAAATGCCCGCTTTACACTTGCACTGGACACGAGAAGCCCCAAAACGTCCAATGAGGCTTGGGACAGTGCTCGCCAGCTGTGACTGGCCTCTCGAGCCACTGAAGATGCCCTTCAAGCTCGGCAGACCAGG